AGAAGGAGACTCCACAACCTCTCTGGGCAGCCTGTTCCAGTGCTCTGTCACCCTCACTGTTAAAAAAAAATTTCTGAAGTTCCTGTGGAACTTTTGGTGCTTCAGTTTGTGGCCATTACCTCTAGTTCTGTTGGTGGCCACCAGTGAAAAGAGGCCAGCATCATCCTCCTCAATCCCTCCCCTGAGGTACTTATATACACTGATCAGATCCCCTCTCAGCCTTCTCTTCTCCAGGCTGAACAGGCCCAGCTCTCTCAACCTCTCCTCATAGGGCAGATGTTCCAGGCCCCTGCTCATCCTTGTAGCCCTGCGCTGGACTCTCTTCAGTAGCTCCACATTCCTCTTGTACTGGGAAAAATGTACTATGTAAATTTCTTCAGGTTTTCAAACCAGAAAGCTTGAAAGCATCCTTATTTGGGGGTGGTTGAGGAGACATAAAGAGAGAATGTACTTAATAAACAAACAAACAAACAAAAAACACTTGTTATTTGCTCAGACAATTTCATAACTATAAGAGTTTTTTGTTTCAAAGTGCAGGTTGCAAAGGCAAAACAAACCTCATTAATCAGCTTAATCATCACAAGCCAAAAACAGTAATCAACAGGACAGAATCTATGATACTGTGTTCTTCTCCCCCATAATGAGAGCAGTATGTCTAGTTGAACAGTACTGACTTTCCCCTACCTGAGAGCCACACATTAGACTTTGTGCTGCCAGCATGATGGATTTCATTCCAGAAGCACAGACTTTGTTCACAGTAGTAGCAGGAGTAGAGATCGGCAGACCTAAGGCAAACAGTTTGCACAAACAAGTGTGTTAGCTCAAGGACAGCCCAGCACTGCATTGCAATTTCAGTAAGATTTTGCCCCAGAACCAGCTTTTATCTGAGCCAACTGTGTCCAAGGTGCATTATTTGGGCTGCCAGGACCACTTTCCTATCCCTCCTAACCCTCCCTGTTTGTAAAAGGCACACAACACTGAAAACATATGGACAAGCTGTTCATGTTGGCCACTGGCAGTACAACAGCAGGTCAGCACAAGAGTTCAAAACCTTATTATATATATTTTTACTTAATTTTTATTTTAGCTATTACCAACCAGGAGCAAACCTGTTTGGTGCCAGGGTTTCTGAACACTCTCTGGACTCAGGGTTTCTTATAACACTCATTCTGGGCTCTGGTGTGTGCAGCCTGGCTCGGGCTCACTGCAGCACTGCCTCCCCTAGTCTTGGTGTCTAGCATCACGGCTCTGTGCCAGCAATAACACGAGGAAAAGCAGCAACTCTTTCAGCAAAGCCCAGGGACACAGTCAGGGCAGGATCCAGCTCTTCCCTAGCCCACAGGCCTTCACAGAGTCATGCTAAGGTATGGAATGCTAGATTCCCTGCAGCAAGGCAGAAAATTCCAGCACCCCAATATGACTCATGCTGTAGTTAACATTAGAGTGAATCCTTTCAGGGACAGCTTTGGGTTCCATAGTAAGAACAAAGGGTAGGGACACACATATCTACAGCTTAAGAAAACTTGCCAGCCCCATATCTAAAAAGGTTTAATAGGTTAAGAAAAGGTTTAATAGTAATGGGACACTGAGGAAAAAAAAAAATATCTGTTTCATGAAAGGCTTGAAGAGGACTTTCTGTCTCTAGCCTAAAATGCCCTGGAAGCAGCAGTCTACTCTCCAGTGTCCTCCTTTTTTCCGGGTCCTGCAGAGGCTGCAGGCAGCAAGGTCTATCGTGCACATGAGAGCTGATTCCTCAGGATGCACAATCAGGCCCAGCTACACAACTGCAACAAACAGCCCTCGCCCACAGTGGGGACAAACCCCACACAGACTGTCCTGATGAAAGGCCAGGCCCCACGGGCTCAGAACAACCCAAGCTCCAACCCACAGCGCCTGGCTCACCGCTGCAGCAGCACCAAGCCAGAGGCTGTTCGAGGCAGAAGACGACAGCAAATACCTGCACCCAGGAGCGCTTGTCGGGCGGGCGCCTGCCCCTGTCCCGCCTGCAGCACGTTGCCCATGTAAACCTCCTTGACCTCCTGCGCCGGGACACCTGCGGGACAGCACAGCCTGCGTGAGCCCCCGCGGACGCGCGACGCCCCGCACGGAGCCCCGCGGCCAGCAAGGGAGAAGGGAGAACGGCCGCTTCCACGCGTGTGCCAAAAAAGCCTCTGGCAGTGCCCACTAGAGCTCAGCGCTCAGTGAGGACCCCCGGAGCAGAATTCCCAGTTTTCCTGCAGGACAGCCCTCAGTTGACTAACTAAAGCCAACATTCCCAAATCTCATCAGCTGCCCAAGCAGCTCAGTTCCAGTGGATGGGAAAAATCTATGAAGCTTTCTATTTGCCACAGTTATGGCTAAGGGAACAGGAAATTAATGTGGTTTAGCCAAAATACCAGCAAACAGCCACCAAATGCAAAAGTCCTGCTTTCCTGGTGCTTCATTTGCAACAGCATTGGCATGCAAGTTCTCACAAAATATCAATTACATAAGTTCACTTTGAAGCCAAATTCAACCCCCCGCCCTCATCTCCACACAAGACTTTTTTGCTGATTTAATTCCCCAAACAGTCACAAGGGAGCTGGACAAACGTGACTGTGCACGTAATGAGGAAGGCCTCCTAGTTCCAGCAGCTGGCACTCTTCACAACAGCCTAGAGCTGTCAGAGAAGTGCTCCCTCAGGGAGGCAAAGAGCACGTCCGGCAGGATTTGGACCAGCACAGACATCCTTAAGCAATATTTTCTTAGAAACAGCACTTAATTCTTATTGAATCAATGCCCAACAGTTATTTTTATTTAAGTACCATTTGTTAACAGTGTCACGGTGGTGGTGGGAAACCTTTTTATGAAGCAGCTTAAAAACAAGCACAAATTGATACTGTTCTGAGCCACTTGCAGTTTTCTCTTGTGAAAACCATGTTTACAGGTACCTGCTCTATCGATTGCTCCTTTAATTGCAATGGAACCAAGCTTAGTGGCTGGCAGTGATGAAAGAGATCCTTGGAAAGATCCAATTGGTGTCCTCACAGCACTTGCTATCACCACTTCCTAGAAGTATGAAATAAAAGCCTCAGCATCACATGCCCACATATATCAATATTTTAAAAATGTTATCCTCCCTTACAGTCTCATCTGTGTCACATCTTCGTTTCAAAGCACAAAAATTGTCTCAACTACATCCTGCACAGCAAAAGCCCATTTGGTCAACTTCTTGAACCTGTTACACTGGCTTCCAAAGACGTCCTAACATATTTAAGTCCTAACTTAAAATTGCTGTACGGGTACCTTTCTGTATGTACACCAAACAAAGTCAGTTATGGAGCAGAACTTCCCTCTTTCCGCTGGTTTCAGCCACTACACATTTCATCTACACTTAATAAGGCAACATCTTGCGCCTTGGAAAAGCAAGAATCTTGTAGAGTTTTGTCATTTTTCTATCAGCTTGAAGATCTTCTGACACCACATAGGCAGTAGTTTAAGAGTTGGTAGGCCATTCAGGTCTCTGTCAAGGAGCTCCTCAACACAGATGTGCTCAGTTTTCTTCAGCTGTAGCTCTCCTCAAGGCTGCATCAATTGGCTACCTGCAGACCGGTCCCTGCGAGGGCTGCACGAGGGCCTCACACCGAAGAGATTCACACTGCAAAGCCCTGGCCACCCCTGCTCAGCGAACACCTCCAGCCCTAGGGATTGCCATGCAAGTCAGGCACAGCACTTCGCGGGGCCTGCCTTGAGGTCTTTATTTAGAGAGGCTAAGAAACAAAACCTAACAAAACCAAAAAACATTTAAACAAACAACAAAAAAACCCAAATGACAAAATATATTTACTGTAAAACCCTGAAATCTGAATGCAGATTTGTTGTGATAATTTAAAAGAAAACAAAACCAAAAAGCCTCTGCAGCTTTAGGAAGCAGGTTCAGAACAGCAATTTATTTCAGCTTGTGCTTGTAGTCAGCTGGTGCCTTTTACTTACATTTAAGGTTTGTTGTGATGCATAGTCACGGCTTGCATACTTCAAAGCCTAAAAATAAAAGAGCCTTCAGAATTTCACATTAAGAATTTTAATATTGTGATACTTCATAAGGATGTCCCGTTTTCATGAAAGTCATTCATTTTTCAATAACTTAGGAAATACTGAAAAATATTAAGATATAGAAATCAGAAGTGTATTTCTCAAATACATTTTAGTGCAAAAATGTTACTCAAACATCAGTGATGAAACAGTTTTTGAAAAATAAACAGAAACTCCTTTAAAACAAAAACCCATTTCAGGTAAGCCCATTCCACAGATTATTTATAAGCACATACAATGTGTGTGTGTATAAGCAGCAGTGCCGTAACAGCCAGAAGTGGGGGGTGTTATCTTAAAACAGGTGCCCCTCGCCTGCTGGCTGCTTCCCTGGACTTTGGTTCCTTCGTTGCTGTTCCAGCTCCATTGCTTTTTAGTGGGGGCAGCTCATGTCTGCAGCATCCCTCGGCATTTCATGATGGCATTTAATGATCACATGCCAAGCATCCCTTGGCATTTCATGATGGCATTTAATGATCAAAAATGAGGATAACGACTACAAAACACCATACTGAAAAGTCACAAAACACATCCCAGAAACTGAAATCATTGGCAGATCAGAAAAAAATCAGTATTAGTTCCACCTGCATAATGGTAACAGAGACACATCCGCAGATGCTACCACACATCCTAGCAGAACGACCTTTCAGCCAGCAGCTTCACAAATTTACAATTCAAGCCATTTTTTCGATAATACATCGGCACGCTGGAGACTCCTGGCTCGTTACTGGACAAGGGCCCCCCGCTAAGTTAACAGCAACAAAAATAACCAAGTTTAGCAGCGCTGCAGAGCGCCGGCCACACGTGACGCCACGCAGCGTTCCCGGGGCTGTGCCCGCTCCCATTCTTCACCTCTGTTTTTCAAAGCGGCCTCTCTGTGTTTGCAGAGCAAACGTTTGGCCTGTCCCGTTCCCCATCTGACAGTCTGCCCAGGGCAGCAGCTGGCGGGCGGCTGCGGGACAGGCCCTGTCCCGACGCCTCCAGCCCTCCGCCCCGCGGCCGCTCCGGCCC